GGTTCTGTTCTTCATGACACGATGCTCCTTGAAGCCAGCTTATCCAGCTCGCACGGTTAAGAAACGGGCGGGAGGTTGGGGGCGCAGCCCTTTGCCCCACCCCCATCTGAACGTCTGATGCGGGAGAGGGCTGCTTCTAGACCCCGCGCTAGACTTGCTGCACGATGCCGCAGCGTTTGAGTGGCAGCTCGGAAATACAGTACAAGGTTTGCACGACAGCTCTGCCATGTAACGACATGCTGTGCGATATATATGTATATACACATGCTTATTTATTAGTGTATATATATATATATATTATAGGTGATTCTATATATGTACGTATGTATGTATGTATGTATGTATGTATGTATGTATGTATGTACGTATGTGTTTATGCTTTAATATAAACATATATATATATATATGTATATATATTTTATGATATACTAATGCACACATATTTCTGGAAACCATGTATTTATATATTCTGCACGAATCGCAAACGGTCCTAAGTCCTTCTGTAGGGTGTTTCACACACGAAATGGAACACAGGGTGGCGGTAACCTCTCCCAGGCTGAAGCAGCAGACACCGTGTGTTGCGGAAAACGGTGAGTGCTGGTGTTGGTGGTGCTGCGGTGGCTGCTGCCGTTCTTGCTGCTGTTGCGGTTGTGGTGGTGATTTTCCCTTTCGTTGTGCTGCTTGTGCGAGCGGCAGTAGTGTTCATAAAGCTAAAATATAAATGCAAATCATATCCATTAATTCAACAGAGATTCTTAGCATTGTTCTTGTTTTGATTATTGCGATCACCATTGTTCGCATAACGCAGATAAGCGAAAAACACAAAAAGTAGAAAACCTGACAAAACAAACAAACAAAAGCAAAAGCAAGAACACGACAAGACAAACCAAGAGCGGAAAAGCAGAATAACGGCAGAGCACAAGAGCAAAGCGTAAAAACAGAGAGGCGGACAAGCAGAAAACTACAAGCAAGCCAAAGGCAGCAGGCAGAAGCGACCAAAACAAAACCAAGGCATGGAACACCACAAAAACATAAAGAAACACAACAAACCATAAGTAGGGCCACTTTATTTATTTCATTCCTTTCTGCATCTTTGGCTTTCTGTCTTTCTTTGTTGCCTACTTCTTCTTCTACAGGGCCTAGGCGAGTGTCGAGGTCCCCCGGCCGCATGGGCCCCCCACTTGTTATGGGGCTTTGCGGAGACCGTGAAAGTTTACACAGGTTCCCTTCGTAAAACAGCTATTAGTACTGATTTCTGAAAGCGGCAAACTTCCGCTGTGTTCGTTGCGGACACCTGTGTCATCCTTGTGCGTTTCATGTCCCCCACGAATCCGGACGAGATCTACATATATATATATATATAGTTGAGTAAAGCAAGGATTACATCACGGTGGGACATGATGCACACGTCTGAAAACTGTTCAACAGCAAGTCCCCCTCGTGTCACCATTAACTTACATGCCGCCTGCGACCAAGTACGCACACTACATGGCCCCAGCCGAAAGGTTGTGAAAGGACGGATGGGGAAAGGACAAGGTACTTTATCGAGGCTTTTGTTGTCCCCTACATACTGGGCAATCAATATTCGAGGATCCCATGCAAAACCGAACAAACTGAGCAGACTCCGCTAGTAGAGAACCGTTCATGGGTCCCCGGAATCAGCAGATCGTGGTGGAGTGAGTCCAGTCCTACCTTGAAGCAGCAGCTGAGCCCCCGCCAAAAAGAGTCATAACAGCCCAAATAAACATCCGTAAACACCACAACAGACCGGCTGATGCTTCAACTGGACACCTACGCAGCTGCTCCACTGCTATGTTTCCCCCGGCAACTTCATTTATCTGTTCCGAAACTAAAGACAACCTCAGCCGACCAACAGTACAACACACTCTCCAACTAACCACACTGCTGGCTATGAAGTTACCCCCTCAACAGTAGGCAGTGCTGCCACAAAAGCTCTTCTCATGTGGGCTCCCGGTTGATCGTGTAGAAGATCGCGTCCCCCACGCCAAGTGTTCTCACATTCCTTGCTTCTGCCTGTCTTTCTTACTTCTCTCTTCTGCTCCTTATATAAGTTCTTTACTTATAGCCTTCCTTTTTCTTTCCCTCGTTCCTTCTTTCTTGCTTTCCTTCGATCCTTGTTTGGTTCAGTGTTTTTTGGCCTTCCGCCTAGCTAGGACGTGGTTCACAGCGTTTAGGGTTTAGGGTCTTTGTTTCTATCCTTGATTCTATCTTTATTCCTTCCTTCCTTTCGGCCGATGGAGGATTGGGGAGGCCAGCGGACCAGAGGACCAGGGCAACCGCGGAATGAGAGGATCAGACAACGAAGGGACCAAAGCAGGGGACCAACCGGCAAGAAGAACTGAGCGGGCCAGAGGGACCAGCAGACCAGGGAACCAGAAGACAGGGAAGACAAAGGACCAGGGGACCGAGAAGACCAAAGGACCCGGGGGATAGGGGAAAAAAAGGAGCAAAAGGAAACAACAAAAAGGAAGTGAACAAATACGCCCTCCCCAAAAACCTCAGAGTCGACCGTTTGTTCCTACACGATCCTACACGCACATGTGCGATGCACAACAACAAAGCAAGAACAACCAAACAGTGCCAGCATGACATAACCGACATAACGCCTACCGTACGCGATTGTCGCCCAGATGGCTGCGTGCGCAACCCTTGCTTTGCGGAAACTCCAGAACCCTCAGTCTGCCCCGGATGCCCGGTTGCCCCTGATTGACGCCTGGTAGTCAGGACGCCTTTCACCGCTCACTGGGTGCCAGTCTATGTGTGCTGGAGGCTACATCATGGCGCTGGAGGCTTGCACACACTGGCCATCAGCAGGCTAGCTAGCTATGCCGACGAGTTGATGGGACCGGGATTCTGTTTGGCAGGCCCTTTGTCGGCTGGGGGGCTGTCGACCCGATTCGACCATAAAGCAATTACAAGTATTGTGTTTAGCTGAATTGCCGCACATTTCGACACGAACCCTCAAACTTCCTGAGGCTGAAGCTGCACGGCCGTTTGTGTAACAAAGCTTCTGCAGCTTGTCCTGAACAGAACACAGCCATGCCACTTCAAGCCGCTGACAAAGATACCTGCAGTCCTCCGATATGCCGGCTTTATGCCACATCTCGCTAACAGCCTGTCCATCCTGAGCCATCATGTATGCCTTCGGGACCCCTGTTTGCAAAGTTCGCTGAGAAGCACAATTTGGTACTCGATCATGGTACGAGCACAAGAGCGAGGGATATCAAAGAGAACCCTGCCCAGATGTGAGTGTTCACTAAGCTCCTGGTTGATGGTCAGTTGGTGAGTGTGTGTGAGAGACTTTTCCGCCGAAGCAAATCTGAAATCTGTCTGCTTCAGCAGCCTAGCTGCATTCAGCAGGATTGTTCGTGATTGTATCTTCGGAAGTTCGGAACTGTAAGCCATCAACCGGAAACCAAGGTCTTGAGCAGCACCTCCTACGTGTCTTGGCCACTGGCCAAGCTGGAGATGGCCTTGCTTTGCAGGTCTTTGCCTGCCGGGGCTGCTTCACGCTTCCAGCTTGCATCGCAAGGGCCAGCCTGGTGGCGGCACTTGGAGCTCAGGCTGCTCATCATCATCCGTGTCACTGGGCAGATCTTTGTCAAAGCCACCGACCTAGCGAAGTGCAAACGCCCGATTCACTCGAAACTGCTCTGACTTCCGAAAGGGCCCCACCGGCTGGTACGACAAGCGCTGGCCGCCCAAATCGGCACCTCGATGTCTTTGTTGCAACCACCGCCAAGCATTGTTTACGGCTCTAGCTGGGATCCCTGCCTAGTGACGGCCCCAAGACGCCGCCCGCCTGTGCACCAGATCTGAGCAGGTTCCATACTAGAGAAAGGCGCGGAAACGTGCCTCTGCAAAGCTCGGGCAGAAAGGATCGCCATGTTGGAATGGGTCCTTGCAGTTGCCAGGAATTGTTGAATACAGATAGTCTAAAGCCTGTCCATGGCTTAGAAGCGAGCTGTGACTTCTCGCGGGGCTCGGTAGCTTTCCAGCCTCAGCCGCGAGTAGGTGCCCAGATGAAGACATGATCGGATCGACAAGCATCAACAACCGAAGATTAACACATGTTCATGCTGAACGCTTGTGTTGGACTGTGAGACTGGAAATATCTTTCCTGGAAAGTTCTGCCAAGCAGGCCCAGTTCGCCGCATTTTTGCAAAGTTGGCTATGCACGGCCAAAAAATTGTGCTTCCTCCTGACGGACATCCGGAAGACTCCCGTAGCCACCAGTAAACCTTCGTGCAAATGTCAGTAGCGACAGCAGCAGCTGTCGCAGTCGTCGTGGAACTAGCGGCTAGCGGAAGTAACTCAGTTAGTGACATGGTGAGTTAGTGACATAGCTAGCCCGATAGTTAGCCAGCTTGTTCGTTCGAGTCAGCTAGCTAGCTAGTTAGCCAGTCAGCTAGCTAGCTACCTAGCTGAGCGACGAGCTGTTATTTTGCATGTTGGTTAGTTGGCCGATTGGGTATTTGGTGAGTGCACTGGTTACTTTAGTTGGTTCGTTGTTCAGTCCGTCAGTTAGGTATTTAGTAAAGATAATCGGTGATAGTAAATGGTTGGTACCAAGTTGTTAGGAGACGGTTTGGTTATCTAGCTAGCTAGTCAGGGTATGGCTTCGTCAGATAATCACTCAGGCAGTCAGTTAGTTAGCTGGTTCGTTCTTTAGTCACTTGATGTGAGTATGTCAATATGTAATGGGCTCTTTTTCAACTAATTTATTTAGTTACTGTTGTTGCCTCCTGCATTGCTGAGCGAGTCACTTGGCAGGGTCTTAGATGACATGCCAGTGAATTCACATGCAGTTGATGAGTTCGTTGATGTTAGTTAGCTAGGTTAGGCTAACTTGGTCTGATTTAAGTTAGGTTGTAAGTGGGTGATTCAGATCGGCTGAGCTAAGTTCAGCTGTAAAACTCTAAAGTAAGTTAGCTCGCAGCTAGTAGTCGACAGTAAGTAGCAGATAGCTAGAAGCTGCAAGCTAGAAGTAGGGATTCAGTGACAATTAAAACGGCCATTAATAACTTTAGTATCACTGTTACTACTATTCATATTACTATTATTAGTGTTTAGCGTTATTATTGTTTTTATTACTATTACTAGTACTATAATCATGATTCTTCTTTTTGTCACCCACTTGGCATGCCGTCAGTAGTAGTAATGGTAGTAGGAGTCGTCGTCGTAGTGGTCGTAGTAGCAGTAGTAGTAGTAGTAGTAGTAGTAGTAGTAGTAGCAGCAGTAGCAGTAGCAGCAGTAGTAGGAGCGGCACCAGCAGCAGTCGCAGCAGCAGCAGCAGGTGTGAAGGCAAAAGTTCGCAACAAGTAGTTAGCAGCGAGAGGTACTACTTAGTAGTGGTACATGGTGGTAGTGGTGTGGAAGGTAGTGGTAGCTGGCAAAAAACGAGTTTGAGTAATAGTATATAGACATCCACCGCAACACAAAAACTGCAAGAAGGAACGCGGGCAAAGGCGATGTTAGGCGTAGATTTGGCGGGCTCTGTGATCTTGGCAGAGACGTAGTCGTGCCTTGCACGATGCCCAAACTTTGTTTGTTCCAGCTTGCTTGACATGAAAAGAAGAATGACTCGACCAAGGCTTCACACAAAAATACTGAACACGTCAATTCAGCAAAAAGTCGTGCTTTCTTGTGCGGGGAATCTCGTCAGCAGCCAAGCCGACATTTTTGCTTCGCGACTCCGTGGAGTTGCCCGGGGCACAGCCGCTTTGTTTGCAGCATCCATGCCAAGACAAACAACCCACCCAATTCGATTCCGAACAAGGCGGCAGAGGCCGACATAATGCATTTTGAACTGGTAGGGCTTCTTGGGCGCCAAGAAAATGCTCCGAATTGCACGAGATACTTGGTCTGGAGAGCTGCCTGACATAAGCTCTGGACCAAAGTGACTCTAGCGACATGATGCTGGACCTTGGCTTTGGGTTGCCGATTCGTGATCGCAGCAACTGCTATGCTCGTCGTTGCATCAGGCCGTGGACGGAAGCAGGGAAAGAACGTCGAGGGGCTCCAAGAGATCAGGCTGCAATGCGCAACTTTGTGATGCTATGTCTAGAGAAAAGCATGATGCCAAAGACCTTCTCTGCAAGGCCATGCTCTGGATCGCACTCTGCAGAATCAGGATATGCCACGAATGTCCTGGCATAAATAAAAACCGCAGGTCAACGCGAAAGACAGGTTGAGAAGAACACCCAAGCATGCAAAAGGCCTGCACTCTGTGGAAGGGATTAGCAACGATAAGGCCTCAGCCGTCGAAGAACAACTGCACCATTGACTGATTGCTGCGTCAGATCTGCATGCCAAGACTGAGCACCCTTACATCATGCACGGGCGGAAGCAAGCACGAGTCCTCAGCTTTCCATCAAAGCAGGCCGACAGATAGCAAAACTCTTCTCGCACGGAAGTGTGTGCGATGGGGACGGACGTAGGACTCAAGCTGGCATGGACACCGGCATCTCAGCTCCATCCAGCTCGTCCCCACGCTGGCCCAAGACGAGGCTTTCCTGCATGGGGTGACAGAAGCCGTGCCTTACGAGCTTGATTGCAAAACAAAGCCTGGACGGCACCCTTACAACGAGCTGTTGCAGCAAAAGCATGTGCATGCTCGTGCAATACTCGGGGCACAGCGACCTTCCATACAAGCATAGACCATGCCCTTCTCAACACGGGTGGCATTATGTAGCATTACTGCATGCTCTGCTTCATGGGGAATCGCAGCGATGGTGCTACTGTACCGCACATATGCTTGCTACCATTCCTTGCTGTCGCTCATCCAAAACACAACTCATTAACCGTCAGAAATCATGAGGTGCTTGCGAACATGCTCATGCGTTCGTTCTAATTGAACATGCACGTGGTTTCGATCGGGAAGTAACAATGAACAAAGGCAAGAAGCAGTAGCTGACCATAAGGATGGCGCACAAACGCAAACATACACACACAGAGACAGTTCTTGTTGTGCAACTTTAGCAGTACCATGGAATCTCAACCAAGGCCCGTGACTTGTTTGACAGGAATTTCACGACATGTATTTTCGTGCTCCGTAGTGGCGAAGGTGAACAGCTGGAAGTGACCCTGCTTTGAATTCTAACGACCTTACTAAACTACGACGATCCCTCAACCTACCAGGAAAAGCCTCAAAAACGCAGGCACTGACCACTTCTGAATAATCACTCTGGATTGCATTGGCGCGCAAAGTCCGTGGAATGGGGTTTTTGATGGTTCTTGGCTTGGCCCCGTGCCATCAACTGACAATCACCACGACAGGATATGGAGAAGACAATACGAAGACAACCAATATACAGCGAGGGTCGTAGATGCCTTTTACGTTCATTTAGAGTGCAAGTACACGGAGGTGAGCAGTCTCCACTATTATGGTGGATAGCTTCGCTGGCACAGGTCCCCTGCATTCTAGTATTCATCTGAAATGCGCGACTGTAGGACGTGAAGACGCCTTGGAAGATGATTTGCGCGCACAAACACACCCACACGCAAAGGACAACAAACTCATCGTGTACGCGGGCACATAAAAACCCCTACCACCCCTACTTCAGGAAAGTCAGAGTTGGTTCTAGCTTAGTTCAGGAAGGTTGTACAGGGTTGAGGAAGGTTTGCGATCGGGTTTCGCCTTGCTAGAAATCTGCGCTTGCTGTAGACGAACTAACGAAGGACGAAAAGAAACACAAAAAAAAATCATAAGCAACAAGAAAGAATGTTAGCAGTACTGCTAACACAAGTTTTTCGAGATGATACTCACAAAACTAAACTGTTAACACCGAAATATCAACGGTCTCGTGCTTTCGACAATTGTCTGTCTCCTCGGAGTTCGGAAGTATATATTTCTGTTTCATGGCGTGGATGTGGGGAACTCTCATCGAATCCGTCCAAGTCCCAACCTCGGCTAGCACGATGAAGCAAGCAAACACAGTGGAAACGTTGATATGATTCTATGAAACTTTATCTGGAAGCCAACAGCATGCAATGCTCTCACCGGCAGCAAACAACAAGAAACACTTCGACGATTAATCCACTACTAGTTTAGAACACAGGCAACATAGTGCAATAATCGCTTGAAAAAATCTTACTGTCCCAGACGCGGGCATGCGGAAATCGGCGATGTTTTGCGACCCATGTGGATTTTCATGTTTCGTTCATGCCAGAAGAACATCAACAAGAAATAATCAGAAATACGCACCAGGCTCTAACGTGAACACAATCTGCATCGCAGAACATGCGCAAACACCGTGGCCGACAGTTTGGATGCGGCGGCACGAAGCCCAACTACAACATGCAAGGCCGTGGTGGGAAGGGATTGCACTCTTGGTTTTACACTGAATTCGGACTCCCCGGCGGACGCATTGGATTAGCTTGAGATTATACACTGTGTATACATATGTATATATGTACATACATGTATATGTATATAAATATATTTTAATACATATATATATATATGTATACTCAATATCAAGTACCTAGCTAAATAGTGTATGGCTACGTGGTACATTGCATAAAAATCCAAAAAGTTTGGACGGACAGTTATCTTTTGTTTAATATCGAATTTCAATGTCTTTCAAAAGCTTGGCGAGGTGAACGGCATCCATACTTGAGGTGTCAAATATATTCTATGATATTCCGTTCGTTGCCTTTCATGCAACCGGAAATGGATGGTTAGCAACAAAAAGCATTGAACAAATCACAAGCAAGCGGGCGGGTACAGTATGTAATCTAACAGTTCGATAATGGCCATTGTGGTCATACATAATATTCTTGGATGCTGTTGTTGAGGTTGTCGTCGTTCCTTGAGTTGGTCTTTGTCGTTCCTCTGGTGTGAGTACACCGAGCACACTTCCAATCCCCCAACTGCAATCAACATCAATTCCAAGCCCCCCTCAGCCCGTTTACAAGCACTGTGACGAACAACAGCAGCAAACGACAAGAGTAACAGCAACATCAACAATATCGGGAACAAAAACCAAAAGTCTGCAAGCAGCACAATTAGCAGCAATCATCCTCACAGTGTTCGTAATAATACTGAATAGTATCGTACGAGCAATCAGCCCACTTTTGAAGTCATACTTAGACGAAACCGTTATTGAGCAATATGAACAATTATGAACAACGGTCATGAGCAAGCGGTGACCTTCAATATCACAACAAACAGTATATGGAAATGAATGTTGATCACAATGTGTCACTAGTCAGTAACAGTTATACTACGTCCAGTTGTTTTCCTTGGCGCGTGTACGTTTCCAGCCTTGTCAGGCCTAACAGCAACTCTAAGTGCAAGGCCCCTTTCTTAGTCGGGGAGCAAACAACACCAACATCCACACCAACGCCAGCAACAACAGCAGCAACAACCCTAGAAACCAAGGATGAGCGTGGTAAAGACGAGTACGAGACGAGAAGGTTCGAAGATTGACAAGTTAGTTTTGTTCGGGGGAGGATTGGGAGGTAGGTCATAGAGATCAAAGGAAGAGGATGGGGTATGATCTATAGCAGGCGCTGTCGTCCGTATCTGCTCTTGTATTCTATGTTATCGTGTCAGTCGGACTTTGCCTTTCTTCAGCAACAGCAACAACACAACAACAGCGACGACGACGACAATAACAACAACAGCACGCAAACATCCCCATCTCGTATATGAATATAAACTAGGCTCCACCCTCCCCCTTTCCCCATGGCCGGCTTAAACCGCTTTTTGGTTGGCTGGTGCAACGTGTACTCTGCGATGGCTGTGCAAGCAGGTCCTTTGTCGAACAGCTTGCAAACCTTTTGTCTTGGCGATGTTCTGGTCTTGGAAAATGCCTTCATAAAACGACGGACTGTTGCCACACTTCTTGCTGACATTTCCCCAAGGTTGCAACTGACACTTCTTCTGCTTCAACCGACAGCACGTTTCACCCAGTGCCAAGGAATCACAGCGGTCGCAACTTGTCATAAGTTGACCCCGGAGCCTGTCACGAAAAATATTTGATTCCCGAGCATGTTGCACTAACCGACTGCTCTTGGTATACGTATTAGGCTTCTTTCTGTGAGCAGTGCCTAAAATGCAAAGGCAGTGCTGCAGAAATCACGAAGGCACAGATGTCAAGATGACTAGAAGTTGCGACGGAAACCCTCTAATTCACAACCCTCGATACATAAAAGCGTGTAGGGTTTACGGCATTGTACCTAGATGGTCTGGTATGGAATGGATTTAGGTAGGCAGTTTCAGACGCAGAGGTTAAGGTCGGTGGTGCATACGGCTTAGGTTGTGGAGCTTAACGAGGGGTTCCGGATGTAGTTTATTGGAGTCTGTAGCTGTGTGTATACAAGGGCGGCTACCACTACCATCACGAGGACCAGCAGCCGCAAGACCATCATGCCTAGTCCTCCTGCACAGCTCCATTGATAGTGCTGTGCCAGTATGATTATTCATCCTGTGAAATACGGATGTTAGACATGCAAGCATGGATGTATGCATGGAGAAACATTGATACATGCTTCTGTGCCACACGACAATATGCATATTGATATGCGGCATTCATGTGAGTGGTTGTGCGTCTCTGTTTGTCTATGAGTCTATGCATATATATGTATATATATATATATATTTATCTATTTATGCTTATACACACAATAATATAACCGTTTCCAGATCTGCATACCATCGCATACCTAAACACATATATACACATGTACTTTAAAAGTGTACATTCATGCAGACATACTTTAGTCGATTTGCTTGTGGCTGAGGTCACGGAGCGGCCAATAGCAGCAATTTTTGGCAACCGATTGTTAGCTAAAATATGCTGTGGCTGGCTTGTTTGCGATTATGTTTGAATCAAGGCATGACCAATAGCAGCAATTTTTTGCCACCATGGTGATTGTCAAAACTTGCTGCGATTGACTTGTGTGTGATTACATTTCAATCAAGAAACCGCCAATGGCAGCACATTTTGCCAACTGATTCTGGTGCGAAATTGGCTGCGATTGACTTGTTTGCGATAATGTTTGAATCAAGGCACGACCAAGAGCAGCAAATTTTGCCACCGGGGTGATTCTCAAAATTTGCTGCGATTGACTTGTTTGTGATTACCTTTCAATCAAGAAGCCGCCAGTAGCAGCAGTTTTTGCCAACCGCTTCTGTGGCAAAATTTGTGGCGATTGCCTTGTTGCTCTGACATTTGAACCCAGACACGACCAATAGCAGCAAATTTTGCCACTGGGGGAGGCTTATGTTTTAATGTTGGCGGAAAACACGGGTTTACAAACAAAAACTTGTGTTTCTGAATGTGGAGAAGGACAAGGGATTGCAAAAAAAAACTTACAGTGTTGTTGTTGGAAGACGACAAGGGTTTACAAAAACACTTGTGTTTGTTTTATTGCAGGGAGACACTGGTGTACACAACACCTTGCATTTTTAATGTCGGTGCTTGTGCCCACGGCAAAAAATTGCTGCCATTGACTTGTTTGCGGTTATATCCGAATCGGGAACAAACAATTACAAACCAATTCTTGGGCAAAATTTGCAAACTGAATAATTTAAATAACCCTTACTTAAACGGTTTAAACTGTATGACTTATTTAAGTAATAGCCCTTTAAAGAAATGACAGGTCAGCATTTAAATCTTTAAATTATTTGGTACCGGAAATAGTTTAAATACTGGCTTGAGTCCCTTAATAAAACCCTTCCAAGACTATTTAAATAATTTAGATGAATTCGAAATGTGGGCTCCAGATGTGGAAGACGAGGAGTTGTTTAAAACAGAGCACATGTTTAAAAAAACAGTAGTCAAAGCTATGCACCCAATTTGAACATCCAAGATGGTCCTCGCTTTGTACGCGTCGTAACTAGCGGCTAGCGGTCGCATACGGTTGCTGAGAGGCCCCATCATGGAGATTTCCAACCGACGGGGAAAAGCCCAAATTCCTCGAAGACATGTTGCATTTGCTCACGGCTCTACGCGCCATCATAAGCCTGGACAACCGGAGCAAGGACCTGCTTGATGAAAGGCTTGATGAAAAGCTTTGGGCAAGCAGGATCGCTCTTGGCCATGGTCACCCCAGGAATGCTCGGTGATTCGTAAATACATAAATTTAGTACATTTTTCTGTCTGAACTACATATACACAGTATATATATATATACACACATATATATATATATATATGTATAAGTAAACTCTACGATGGTCTCTCTCTCTCTCTCTCCAGGGCATGGGGGACTGTCAAATCCCCCGGGCATCATGCCCACCCAACATGATTAGTTGGGCGCAAGGGAGTGAAATACGAGCATAAATCACCTGGAAGGCTAGTGCCATAAAGTCTACGATGGTCTCTCTCTCTCTCTCTCTCGATCTCTCTACCGGGACAAAGAAAAGGGACGGGCATCCCCCCCCCCCCCCTTGCGCACGAGCGCGCACCCGCGGTCCTCGGGTGTCTACGACGGTCTCTCTCCCTCTCTTTCTACTTTCGCGTTGTCACCAGTTCCCGGGCATGGCATGTGTTCGTCATGAAGCACGATTATGGACCGTGAGTTTGCGCTGCCAAACAGGGAAAGGCTTGACCCTAGCTTCATGTCAGCTGTGAACAATACAGTACGGGCACGAAGGCGATTCGAGTTTCGCCTTCAAGCGCCTTCTGTTTCTTTTTAGGTTCCAGACTTGCAGTTCAGCCTACTAGCCGGCCAACAGCAAGTTACAAACTCGCATGATGCGCGAAGCCACCTGCCAAAGCAGATCTTCAAACTACTTTCGCTCTCGTACGATGAAACCTGCTCAGTTTTGGAAAGGCCAACGAAAACCTTCCACATCATGTCACGTCTTGAGATGCAGAAGTGCACATCTCACCTCCAACGTCCATTCGCGGCGTCGCAAATCACGCCGCGCTCTAGTTTAGGTAGGCCGTAGGCCTGTCCAGAGAATAGTTAACTAGCCGAAGCCGTCCGTGCTTGCACTGGCGATCAGGGGCTTGGGGCTCAAAGCGGTGCCTAGTCATCTGTATTTAGCAAAGACTCTAGGCCTCAGTTTTGTCTAAAAGGTGCATCAGCGGCTTGGACATTGCCTTGGTTCAATCACGCTTTCATCTGCAGCTCCTGTCCTCCAGTGCGGCTGACAAGCGCTCTCTGTCTGTGTTCGGCTGCATGTACCTTCAGCAGTTGGTCAGGTCTTGCATGCTAGCTGCGAGCAAGAGTCTTGCAAGTCACACTGCGGCACCCAGATGCGGGAGGAACTTGATGCTGCTGGTAGTCCAGGACCTCTGCATATGGGATGTGTGAAGGTTTATCTAGCAGCGAGAAGCAGCTGGAGCAACAAGAACTTTGAGAGTTTCCAGGAGTTTTCTTTGTCCAAATCCCTCAGGGCTCAGGGCACGGTGTCTATGGAGTGGGCTTCGGAATGTTTCAGAACTCAGGACAGTCCGAGTCCTCAAGACACTACACCCGTTTACGATAAAGGTTGGGGCTGCCGCCCAACCGGCTTTAGCCCCTGAATGCTCATCTTCTGAAACAGGGTATGTGCTCCTTTTGGCATTAGGCCTTCAAGCAAGAAGCACCTTGCTGGCGTTCAATGTGCTCTCATAAGCCCCGTGCCCTGGATACGGATACGTCATTCTGCCATGCACTTTGTCAAAAAGGCGCTCCCGACTTCGACCGCAGACTTCCTAGTCCTACTCGTCACACCCTTCCGCTCACGCGGAACTACTGCCAACTGTACAGAGAGGACCCCTGCCTTGCCCCAACGCGGAGGCGGAACCGGACACAGAGTCAGGTGCCAGCTTGGAAACACTGAGCAAGTGAAGATGTGGACAAAAGCACACCTTCTGAACACTTCCAAGGAAGAACAGCCACAAACACAAGGGTCTGTTCACCTTATGTCTCCAATGTTTGATGACGATCAGCGGGCTGGCTTTCTCGGAGAAGTAGACAATCGCCATGTTTTCTTCTTTATGACGCTTTTGTCCCGGAAAGATTCAGGAAATGCGCTCCTCTTCAAGCAGCAAACATGTTTTCATGTCGGATGCTGCTTTGTCAGACCCTAGCAGAGGAACCTCTCAAATGGATCTCTACGGTCCATGGCAGCAGCATTGAGCTGGTCGATACGGAATGGTGGGGTGAAGATGTCACCCGTCTTCCAAGGATTGACGTTGTGCTGCTCCGTACAGACTTCTGCAAACAAGGAACTCATGAGAGGAAATCCGCATTCAGGCAAAACTCATCAACACTAACGACAGGTGGCTGGTTCTGTTGACAGTGTTTGTGTGTTGCGCCTTCAGTGAAACGCCTTGCCAGCCCCCGACGCAAAAGTGCAGCGGATTGCGGGTTTTCAGGTTGAAGTGGGTTTCCACTGAGCGCATGAAGATATATAAAGCTTCCGATCATTTCTGCCGTGCTGCCACCTGGAGCGTCCTACAAATCAGCATGCTACCTCGGCAACTAGGACTAGGATGTCCCACAAATGTCCGAGCCAAAGCCCCCGCGAGCCTCCGTGCATCTTGCAAAAGTCTGCTTGCGTGTGTTAAATGCTGTTTCTTGGCGTGCCAAACTGAATCTCTTGCACATGCGTCATGCGTGCCACTGGCCACATCTGCAAAGATCAGTTTTCAACACAACTCTAGAGCAGAGTTCGTCGTGACCGTCTCAAGGCCGTTCCAACAAGAACTCGTTCCAGGATGCTGTAGCGGCACTGCATGCAATGAATCTGAACCAGGGGTCGCAAGCCAGGTTTTGCCAGCAATACATTCAGCAATACAGCTCAGAGGCACCCCAACGCTTAGTGCAGAGCTTTGAAATCAAGTCGAGTGTTCAGCTCTGCCGGTACAAACTCCTCGAAGTTATCCAGTTGCGTAACCTGCTGGAAGCGCAGTTTGCAGGATGCCAGTGCTTCAGACTTCTGCAAAGAGGACGGTGTGTGCGCCCAAGCCTCTACAGGTTGCCGCTCTTCTGCTGAGAATCCAGACCTGTCATGTTGGTCAGCAAGAACGGTTCTTACGACGAACTTGGTGTCCGACGTTCGTGTTGGAGTTTGGAAAGGCAGGACGAAATCCTTCGGAATGTGAACCTGTGAGAGTCAGGCACAGACGGACGTTGACAACTTGCGAGATTTGCTGAGGTGACGACACTCGGCAAAGTCCCTTCAGTCTTGTTATCTGCGCCTCCAAACCACGGGTGTCCAGCGTAGCAGTGATTAGTAGTGCTGTGGTCACGGCTGCTGCAGGCCAAAGGCCCTGCCTTTGACGGGCTTTTGGGGCGCCTTCTCTGCTTTCACCAGCGTTCCAGAAGCAGCTGCCTCCAGGATGCCACGAGATGACGAGACGCTCTGCAAGATGTTTGATTCAGAGCATGAAACTGCCCACTTGGATACACTTGGACTTATCACGAAGGTCCACCGAACCGAATGCTCGCGCACGCCGCGGTTCGGCTGACGTACATGGGTTCCAGAAACTGACTTCACACGCTCGATTCGGGTTCCGAGCGACGTGGATGCCGAAGGACCTCATGACTCAAAATTACTGCCGGTGAAACAGGTGAAGCTGGAATCCGCACCGCATGACTGTGTCGTGCAAGCATGTGAAGAAAACCATCTTGGAGGTTCTCAGAACATTTGACACACGGTTCCGTTGAAGTGAACGCCAGATTCACAAATGCCAGCATGTGTCATCATAGCATAATTTGTTACCCTTCGACTAAGTGCATGCAATGTAATGTATGTAGGCGCGTGTACATAAATAAATGCTTGCATGCATGCATGCATGCATGCACACATACATACACCATACACGTGCACATGCTTACACGTGTGCCTAGTCAGTACAATTCGTACGTGCAAATATAAGCAAATCAGAAATTCCATGTACATGTATATATATATATATACACATACATACACATGTATGTATGCATGCATGCATGTATGTATGTGCGCACACAAAACTCGTAGACTCAGTCCCCTTAAACTCGAGTCTAGTGCTGTTAACGTTCCTTCGCTACTGAAATTCCTCCTACAAGCCCAAAGCAGATCAAGACCGCACAACAAGAAATAATTAAATGTACATTTTTCCAACATTAAACACACCTAAAAATCTTACCACCTGGCCCCCCATCCCATGCAGCCGGAACCCTCCCAGTGTCACATGTTCAAAACTGACACTTTCGTCGTGTTGTTTTTGCAGCTCTCCAGTCCCAAGGTTTTAGATTCCGAGGCCGTTATAATAAGTCCAAGCAGGACTACTCCCAACATAGAATGCCAAATTCTGATGCCCTGTAGCCAGATGCATTGCGCCGCCTGTACACCCCCGCAGAGTTTCGTACTACTGCTGTAGTTCCTGAAGCACGTCATACTGTTGCCCAAGCGTAACGAGGAGATCCTTGACATCCAGTCGCATTTTATGCCAGCGGTCTGTCAGAAGGCCCGTTCAAGTCCCGACCACCGTTCTGGACCCCACGGCAACGCATGAAATCCTTTACATTTCATAGGACTCTGTTTTTCCTGCATTGTGGATTTCTGAATGAATGTTGGCACTGAGAGAGGCTGACTATGGAAACCTGGTATTACCCGGTCATACATGCGCCTACCGCATTTAGTTTTGCTATTGCGCAGGTTTGCTCGTGCCCTATGTCGAGCAGGTGGTTCTTTTAGTGGCTGGCTTGCGCTCTGAGACGCTGTGGCCGGTAGCTTATGTGCCGAAGTCTGAAATGGTAAATTTAAAATCTGTTTTGCAACAAGATCTTCTCTATGTGTACCATCCCGCGACTCTATCATACTGGCTGAGCCGGCCTTGTTTTCGGCTTCAACCCATGCCTGATCAAGCAGCAGCAGCCGTGGCAGGAACGAGGCACTGACAGCGAGAGCAACTGCAGGAGTCCTTGCAGCTGGGTTTGTCGAAAACTCCGGCTTCGTTCAAAGCCTCAAACGCCAGCGGCAAATTTCGCAAAGGTGCTTGCGTGTTCATGAATGGGCTCGCCTCCTGCAGCAGCTGCATCCTCTTTTCTGCCCGCAGGCGCATTAAGACCTGAAGAACAAAGTCAGGCAGCCCGTGTTTACATGCTGGACACGTATTCGTGTGTTGGCGCGTGTGCCTATGGGCCTTTCTAGGTCTGTGTTCCTGGTTCTAAGCACCAATTATAGCCAGAACCAACGCAGCTAACAGAATAAAGGTCGAATGGATTAGACCTGCATTCCTCGGCATGGGCGACAGTCAAAAGCGGTGGTGGACATCAGATCTGAGTTGTGCAATTCGCGCCGAGTCAGTCCTGTCACTTATTTGTTCTATCCCGTCTTAAACATACAGTTCGGACATGTTCGGACAGTCGGCCCTCACTTGTGCCCCGCAGCATGGTCTTATTTGTGGCGCTCAAACCCGTCGCGTCTGACTCTCCAGGCTTTGCATGGCCTTGCTCCAAAAGCCCCTATACTTCTCCATGACATATGACTCACGCCTTACGATCACGTCTTCTGGTGTAGGGGTTTGGGGATGTGGTCGCTCATTAAGGTTGTCGTGCTGGATTCACTCGTTTGCGCCGATTCAGCTTCCATGTTTCGAAGCTCATGCCCGCTCAAGTAAGGCAAGGCTTCACTCAGCAGATCCAAACCCAATACAACTTTGAGCTACACCTGACATGCCACCAGATTGCAAGTTTCTAAGCGCGACCACGGTAGGGTTTCGAGTTTCTTTAGTGACCGTGGACCAACATCTCTTTGTTCTCGCTTCGAACTGATGGAGGGCGGGCTGTGTACTTCGTGGACAAACAAGTAGCTGTGTGTGGACCGTCCTCTCGGCAATTTTTGTGCTCCTCCTTACTGTCGGTCTCCGCGCTAATGCGAAAAATAGTGTTGCGGCAGGTCGTGCTGTTGCAAGTTGCGGCAGGTCGTGCTGTTGCAAGGAGCGCTTCCACCGGGTCCGCTTTGGATCCCGCACTTCAGCAGCTACCAATGAGCCCTGCTCCCGCCACTTTTTGTGCGGTCCATCTGCGTGGGCCAGGCCCACGGGCACCGAACTACCAGAAGCAGTCACTGGGAGCCAACGACCTGGTCCTGAAGTTCTCGGCAGGTGCGGTTGGCGTCCAACCTGATTGGACCCAAATAACACTTGTCGATCATCATGGCCTCTGGATCAAGCCTGGATGCCGTGAAACAGTCGACAGGCCCGGGGAAACCCATCGCTGTCGCTCTCATGACTGTGGTTTGGGGCGAATCCTCTCCTGATCTCCCCTGCTGCTCGTGCAGTCGAGTTCCTGGTAGTGAAAGGCTCTAGACCCGCAGTCGTAGGCCGAGCACGCACCTGAGCCGTGCGAAGTTTTGGAAAGATTGGAACTGCAGGGAAAAATGCGAGCGCTGGTTCCTGAGGGTGGCGACGATTGAGCCGCTTTTGAACCTATTCGAACTCTTGTTGATGATTAAAAGGTACAGAGTGTGCTCGTCCTGGCAGCCCTCACAGCCAGCTCTAGATGTGTTTTCTGTCAACGGAGGAAATGTGTGTGTTTTCTTGCTTCAAATGATTTATACATGGGGCCATAGAAGCACTCCCTCGTGCAATAAGCATCTAGCCGAAACTGGTCGCCCCCGTCATTGGGGGCGCAGGTCCCAAGCCGGAGGAGCCCCTCCTCCAGCTTATTCGCAGAGCCCAATCAACCGATTCGCGAACCCAGGCCCGGATTTCGGCCATGTCCCATTGAAGCAGAGCGGTTGTCGCAGCCTAAACTTGGTGCCCCTGTTCTGGCTCCGGCCGGAAAGCTTCGGCCCAGCTGCAGGGTTGAACCCTGCAACATGTTTTTCTCGCCGTTCCTGCCGGGCTCCTCGCTCCCGAGGAAGAAGTGGGACGGTACCACAATCGGGGACGATTTAGGAAAAACCAAGGGTACCAGAGCCCTTTCTTTCTGGAAGGAGCTCAGCAAGCCGGCCAACTTGGTGCTGATCTGTGGAAAACGCAGGCTCGGTCGCCAAGGCCGTGACGGCCCTAAACAAGATCAGGGCGAGAAACTTGGAGATCACCTTCAGGGTGCTCAGGAAGGGCTGGTTAAAAGGGCTTGTCAGCAAGGCACCAGGAGTGCGGGGCCGTCGAGAGCAACCTCTTTCGAAAGAGGCAGAAAAGTTCGGTCTACGCTATGAGGAAGAGCTCAACAGAATGCGTGGAAGGATGCTGCCTGCCTATTGAGTGGCCGAGGCTGCACGCGTCGCTGAGAGCCCGTTTGGTTCAGGTGCAGAAGCTCGGAGGGGCGATGACGTGAGCGGGCTCGAACCATCCGCCTGATTCTCAACCTCGCCATCATGCAGTCGGACGCCAGTCGCTCTGGCGGAAGGCCAGACACCCAGCGATACCTCAGCGCTGTGCAAAAAGAGCCTTGACATGGAATCTTTTGATGCTTCAGGATGTCCCAAAGTTTGCAGTGCATCTCACCGGACTTATCATGTTCAGCCTAACCGGTTCCGCCACTCCGATCCGAGCTTTAACGACGTGGCGCCCTTCGCGTCAAAATGGTTGACGGGCCTGTTCTTGTTTCCCTTGCCCTGATTCGCCTCCAGCCTGGTGTGCAGTAGTGAAGATGCCATCCTCGATGAGCTCCAAGTAGTATCACGATATCATCCTCGATATTCTTTGTCCGATATTCACTGCAGGTTGCTCATCCGCGGCTCCCTAGAACAGATTCCGCAAGGCCGACATCCCAACAGCACACCCAACACCGCAAGCAACAACCCACTAACCGAGTTTAAATTATGGTCATCCGAGGCTTCAGAAAATAAGCGAAAAGGAAAATAAGTTCCGCTACGAGTTGCTTCGCCCCCCTATACAACGATAAAGGTGCTCAACTGTGCCCCTGCAAAGGGGCTCTATGGTAGCAGGTGTTAGCGAATTACGCGGTGCGAACATCGTCTTTTTGCGACGGGAAAGGAAGGCTCAGCTGGCGTCGTCTCTATTCAGCCGGAAAGAAAGCCCGGCCCCGGTTGTCACATGTGTGTTCCAAGTTGCACGAGGTCCCGGCACAGGACCTCGATGATGTCCCCTCGGATAGCTTCACGCCCCTCCAATGTGGCACCTTCCGCGGACGCCCGTCGCTTCGTCGGTCATCCCCGTCGTGCTGCCGGCTTGGAAATCTGAGCTGGATTCACTGCTGCAGCAATCCTCCCAGGTAGTTTGCGATGACCTCTTGGGTCGTTGTAGTGTCAAGGACTGGTAGTGGAAGGGCCAGACCTCCAATGGTAGTGCTGCTCAAGGAAGTCTCCTCGTGGTTCAGCATGCGTAGGCTCGGCTCGCCTTCACCGTTGGGTATCTGTTCAGAGTGTCTGCCGCTCGCCCTCGGAGAGCGATGCCCTGCTGAACCGACCTTGACGATCTCTTTGTACCGGACCTGCGGCAGGAGGTGCACACAGTCATTGGCCCCGATCCCCTGCAATCGCGGCAGACGGATCCTTGAACCACGCACGGCTTGAGCCAAAATCTAAATCTCTTGCTTGCTTGCTTGCTTGCTTGCTTGCTGGCAAGGGGTTTAGGGGCTGCAAACAACCTCTTGGAATTTAAATCTCTCTCTCTCTCTCTCCCTGTCTCTATCTCTTTCGCCCAGTCTCTCTACATGGGTGCGATTCCGGCATGCAGTTGCATGCACGTGAGCTGGGACAGATCATCGTACAGCTCTGACATGCGAAGACCGCCCGCCTTTGAGCCTGCTCGCACAAACCGCTCGATTACCTGCAGCCTGACCTCAGCACAAGTTTCTCAAAGAGCGGGCCGTGTTGGAGGGTCATCCTGAATAGGGTTTACGGATATTTACGTGCCGATACCACTTCAGCTGGCCCCAGCTGCGACACACAACGTACATGGACCGCGTGCCTGTCTCTCGTATGCTCAGCCTATGCTCTACTCTCTCTACTCTGTGCTTGTCTTGGAAGATGACCGAGAAGGTGTCATTGGCACATTCGTCCCATTCAGGCTTCAAGGCCTCAGGTAAGGGCATTCCACCTGGACGACTGGTGACATGGCAACATACGCAACACTATCTCTACGTCACCGGGAGCCGCGCCGGCTTGAAGCTACTCGGGACAGCAACTCTCGTGCGAATTAAGACCTTGGCCACAGTCTCACACATCTGTCACAACCGGCTCCGCGCCTTGGGCAAGGACCGACTCCACACGTTTAACGTCCTGCCCGATGCGATACTGGAGGAGCTTCTCGTGCCTGCCACCGGGCCACGGAATTTCACCGGTTGGTGCAGAGTTGTAGTGGAAAGCTCATGCGCCTTGCTTTGCGAGCAGCACACACGTCCGAGACTTCTTGTGCAGCTGGAGGCTCTTCCCCAGTCGCACGCGTACCTGGGTTTGAAGGCTTCTACGACGATGCCGCTGAAATGCCGCCGCCCGGGTTTGTCTCAAATTTGTGTTGAGGCTTTGATGTGCGTTCCGACAATGCGAGTTTAGCTCCACCTCTGAGACTGGGAAGAGCACTCTTGAGTTCCTTGTCCTTGTCTCGCTTGTCCACCTTAAGGATCCGCAGCGTCGGCAAAATAGAAAGACTGCGCGCAGACATGGCCTCCCGGTACTGGAGCTCGAAGCGCAACTCTGCAGCTTGCTTGTCCTCCTCCTCCTCCTCCTCTTCCTGCAGTCCCCAGTTCTCCAGGGTTATGTGGCCACGACCCCAAAATACATGAATGTAAATTCAAAGCAACTCCTCGTCCGACTGGTTCTTGAAGTTGTCTGACACCAAACGTCGCCGTTGGTCTGCTGCCTGAAAAGCTGTCTCACCATGCCACCATGAGCGGCTGAGATGGAGAAGAACCCCAAAGCGACGACTGCGATAAAAGTGTCAAACACATGACCTGAGATGGCTCCAGATTACCTGTAACACACTGTCAGGATGGGATAGAGTGAGCCTAGGTTGGCAGCTCGAAACTAATCCAAGCAAGCAATGTCAGCCTGCCGCTGCTCACGGATGAATGCGACCAAGTCCTACAGGACAGGACACAATGAAGAATCGCCATCTTTAACCTGCAGGCTATGCAGAAGCTGTGTTTCTGCTCAATGCTAGCAGGCAGAAGGTCTGCTTCTTTTACACTCAGCCCGCTCTTGCGGCAGGATTGGGAAACACGGCAGTGACTTAGGAGTCTCAGGAGTCCTGCCGCTTTTGCAGTTGGGCGCACACGAAGCTGATCAAGAACTTGATTAGAGCTCGAAGAATGAAGAATGCAAAGACCAAATCCCATCGCAAGTTCGCACTGTGCCATGCTACCAGCATACTTAGTCGATGCTTTGCTGCATACAGTGTCCGACTTCGGCATTGCTACATTCAAAACGATCTCCTTCAGTGGCAGCTTTCCGGCAGTCTGATTCAGAATGTAGTTCGTAGCTTGTTGATCAGTTCTCGTCGTGGGTACCTACCAGTGGTCTTGTCAAAGTGAAGCGCATCTTTGACTAAGGCCCGAAACTGCGAAGCCTTCACGCCGCTGATGGTCCGTTCCAGCTCTTCCCGCTTGAAGGTTGGAAGGACGACCTTGCATTTTCCAACTCCCTCTTTCACCCGAGACTCGGAAACCCCACATGAAAGGCTGCAGAACAGATACTTAAGGGCATTGCTCGCATAGGATTCTTCTTCTTTCCCTGTAGACACGATACTCACAATCAGCAGTGGTGGCCCGGCAAGAGAGCAGAGATGCATTCTCTGTCAAACTGGGCAGCTGCTTCAACAAAGAGCAGGACACGGCAGGACACGTTTGGCAAATGACATGGCTCTTTGCAAGGGCGGCCTGGAGCTTGTTGACCGATTCAGCCAAAGCTTCCTGCATCATGCATCACCCTTTTGCTACTTGTCGTTAAGAACCGTGGCAATCTTGCTGGCAGCTGCTGTTGACGGGACGTTGCTGCTTATGACGTCCTGCTTCTTTGTGGCCTCAGCAGCTTCCAGCTCCAGAATTTCAGACCGCAGCACCTGGCCAACATCAGTCAAAAGAAGGTGCGCGAGGGTGCGAGGAATGCACGGGATGCCTCCAGCTTTGCAGCCTCTGGTGAGCAAGACCCGAGGAGCGTGACCTGCTGGGTCTCAAATGCGGCTATGACATACCGTCACGGAAGGCGGGGCTTCCCACCATCATGGGCTGGAAGTCGAACTGCGCAATCTGGAATCGAAGTTCGGCCCGTGCAGTCCTGCCATCCAAAAGCACCGGATGTCCATGAGTCAATGAGGGCCAAGGAAGGTCTTATGCTCGAACTGTCCTGTGCCGCGTTGGTGTGAACGTGATGACGACCTCCGTGCTTCCATCTGCAGGTATGACACCTTCGTTCTCCAGCGCAGCTGGCGAAGTTCTAGTGTCAAAGGTCGGATGCAACAGGAATCATACCATAATCACTGCAACATTCCACCTGCCAGCGGAGATATGCTGAAGTCGGAGTGGGATTCCACGACGTCAATTTCAAACCTGCTCTGTTGCACCAGCAAGGTCCGCATTCGGCCGCGCACATTGGACACGTCTGAGACCGTAGCTCAAACTGAATCGGAATCTTGCACGACAGCGGGATTACCTTAGATCTCGACCTGAAAGTCTGAAAGGCTTTTGTTTCTTCGGGCCGGCTGCCGCACTCTAGTTGGGAAACCTATTCAGCCAAGTGCTCACCCCTGTGGTAGCCGCCTGTGTGCAATGGCAGGTGGGCCCAAGGAATTCAATACTTTGGGTTTGCAAGCGTGCGGGTGTTCGCGCGCGAGCGTGTGTGCGCAGGCATCTTGGATGGTCTTGATAAGTTTCTTGGAAGAAGGGTGTCTTATTACCATCCTTTTTAAAATCCTAGCAAAGAACGCTAAGACTTCCGGTCCAGGCAGTCTGGCCATGGGGTGGTCTGGGCTGCTTGCCTGCATCGGATCCTATCTTCCCCTGCAGCAGTTGAGCACAAGCAACTGGAGCCAAACACAGCCAAGTTCGGACGAGAAACAAGCTGCGAAAAAATCAAGCAATTGCTTCCTGAAAGCATCTGCGTCAAGAATACAGGACAACCAACGCACCAGACAACATTTGTTTTCCTGTTTCCAGTTCTCCAGATACGGCTGAAGTCATAAACTCTTATTCATTCTGTTCTGGACGGGCTTTCCAACGTGCAGTACTGTGTCTTACTTTGGCACGTGGTCGGGAATTGCCAGCGAATTGTACATTGGCGCGTGGGCCTGGCGGAGTGCACCGAACATGAATTGCAACTAAACTAGCTGCATCGGGCACGGCTCCAGAGTACACCAGTGGTCTTGCAGTGCAAAGCATGCTGGCATTGAAACGGATAGTGAAGCTGGTGACTAACTATGCTGTTGTCACTCTGTTGGCGACCGGCATGTCGATACAACCTGTGGGACGGACATCTCCCTCTTGCACCAGAGGGACACTCAAAGCCGGTTGTACCTCCCAAGTGTCCGACTTTTCCACGTATTTCGGCCCACTACTCGCCCGCATGTGGAGTACAAAACTACAGAGCGCTACTGCAAGGATCCCAGTAGCAACATCAACACGACGCCTGGATAAAGACAGGTTTGGCCGAACACACTGCTAGTTGCAGAAGCAACGGCGTGTTTTAAACAGCTGAAGGCTGACTATAATAATGGGTGCAAAATGGTTGAATCGCCTCTGGGGGCAGGCGGTGTATGGGCCCCTCCTCCTTACCTTACCCGAGTGCTAGCTTGGCTTTGCACCATTGCCGAGGTAGCACATCATTCATCATTAATCATGTCAAGGGCAGGCGGGGTCGACGCCGTAGGCCGGTAGTAGCAGGTAGCACGTAGTAGGTAGTAGGTCGTGGTGGCAGCAGCAGAAGCAGTAGCCTCAGCGTCGAGCAGGATGGTAGTAGTAGTAGTGGTCGTCGTCCTCATCGTCGTCTGTCTAGTCGTCCGCGGCGCGCATTTGCAAAGCTCTTTAAACGAAAAGCATCAGAGTGAATGAGCACCCTAGCATTGGGTCAAGCGGATTACGGAAAGCTGGCATTTCGAACGAATCTCGCACACTAAATGGAAGGAAATCTCCCCGAATGGAGAGAAGGCGCATGACGACACCAAACTCCTCCGACAATAGAACCTGCACTCGGCATCCTTTAAGCGAGCTCGATGGCACAACCCTAGGCATGTGAAGTTGTATGTTGCTGGGTTGGGGTACTAGTTCAGTTGCTTGGTATCTCTCGGGACTGTGTCGTTCCTTTGCCTTGGCTTCCGGCACGGTCAGAGTCAGTGCGCCATAATTCAAGCTTCTTTGTGTCGTTCCTCGTGCTCCTCAAATGATCCACAGCTCCAAAGGCCGAAATACGGGATTGCTCAGATTCCTATCATTCAATTGATGCGGCTTCGTCAATCTTACGTTCTTTATCCTCGATCGCGTGCCACCGCGATTTCAACATGACGGGCCATCGCTGCGACGGGGCAAGGATGAGTGACATGCTGCGATCGTCCGGCGACTCGATTTTAGAAATTCCCCAAGCAGAAGGTCACCACCTGAATTTGCTTTTTCCGACTCCTGAAGCCATGCCCCTGCAACATCCTGCAACTATCTGGATGCTTGTGGCAGCTCAAACTGCCTGCGACTCGTGGCATAGGCACAGCTTTTTGCTTGGTGCAATCGATCCATGAGCAGGTTGGGTTTTCGACTTTTGCTGCGTCCGACCACGGGCTGGTTCTCGCATCGACAGCTTGCATCGGAAGAGCAGCACATGACAGCAAGCCTTGTGGAGGGCGTTGGACGAGGCAGTATATTCCGACCCGGGGGAGTCGGGGGTTAGTGGGCGACAACCGGTCCGTCCCAGGGCTCCTGCGTGTACTTCAGGTTAGATTTGAAACAAGCGACTGCTTTAGTGGCGGTCTGTGAGGAAATTGCCCAAGCAAGCAACCATTCATGAGATATGGCTTTATTGGCTTTGCAATCGCAGGCACATGTAATTTCTCAGCCTCTAGCGTTCCAATGGCGATCGCACCGAAGTCAATAATCCGTGGCAAGACAATGTCGTTGGCTGACGGGTATGCATGAATCGGCCTGCAAGTAAGACCGGGGGAAGCCAGGCTGCATTCAGTACCACGAGGTTCAAATCACACGATGTTGTAGCAGATGCTAAGCCCGCTGCACGATCAAATTTTCAGATAACTCTCCGCAGAATATTTTGATGGTGTCGTAATAGTACCGCCTGCCACACAAGCACTTATCGTGGCTACTGCCGCAGATCATCGCCGCTTCACGCCGAACAGGCCAAAGCTGCCATTCGTGGGGCTCAAACGAGACCGTCACGTCTTCACTCATTCCTGGCCTCAACAGAACCAGTGCATCAAAAACATCATGTGGCTAGCCCTTGCGTCTGCAAAAGGTCTTCACCGTTCGGTTTCATGCGAGGTTCCGGGGAGCTCTGGGATCCCAGCGCTAGCAAGCCCTTCTTGTCTACGTTGATACGGAACCACGGGGTGGACGGACCTGGGCAGTCTTGCAACAATGTGGTGCATGTAGTGCGACAAAGCTGCTTTGCAGACCTCAGCACCGAACCGATGATTGACACCCTCAAAGATGATGGCGAAATGTTCACAACTCTGAGAACTTGTGTGTGTTCCTGTCGCAATGCAGGATGAGGCTTCGTTCGCATTGGGGAGGCTCCCTTTACTCTTCACACTTCTTCGCAGTTTTCGCTTTGCAGCCAGGTGTGGCAGGGCGATGCAGGGAGCATCAAACGTATGCCAAAACAGGAATGGACAAACGGATACTGAGGCCGGTCGGCGGAAGGCTACAATTACAAGGGGGTCAAGGGAAATGGCGAGGCCACAGAGGAGCTTGACATGAGCATGCAAACAGCTCCGCAAATCCCATCGTGAATCCTTGTGTATCTGGAAGCCGCCAAAATGCAGTGTATGTGGCCTCTTGCAGCTGCACGTCGGAAACGAACAAAAGCCATCTACGGCCAAGGATGACACCGCGTCTCGACAATGTCGTTTCGGTGCAGCTGCTCGAAAGTCTCTTTCTCCAAGAGAGGGTGCCTGTGACATAGCAGGTTCGTGCATGCCCTTAGTGTCGGCTACATCTCTGGCGAGAAGACAGTCTTCAAGCCGAGACGGTTGAGGACACCTGCCTCCCACCAACCACGAGCTCATTGCCATCGTCAGGATACCTGCCAAGCACACAGAGATCGCAGCACGTCTTCAGCCGCAGGCAAATGCCCGGCATCACGACATCGCCAAGTTGCCCAGCAGTTGCTTGCATGTCGGGAACCTATCGGCAGGATCATTAAAGGGACCCTGCTTGCTCTTCTTCGCTTCTTCTGCATCAGTGCCTTGATATTCGAGTAGGGATGTGCTGTGTTGTGTCGGCTTCTCTTGGAGTGGGGCACTCTCGCTTAGGACTTGATGTGAATATGGGTGTAGGATGGTGTAGGGTGTAGGCCAGTCCGGAGCCGCACTTCGCGATTCTCAAAGCCGGTCCCGCCCGATAAAATGTCAAAGGGTTCAAAGGCCAGGAGCCTGGAACAGTCACGGCGTTGATGGTGCCGCCTGCACTACAATAAACCGAAATCGCAACATATCGCGAAGATTTCTGCCGGTGGTATGGACTTATGATCGGGAAACACCCAGCTGTTTCATGCTTCTTCTCTCATCTGTTCCCTTTTTCTGTTTCCGTTGTGTTCACGCCTTCGCTGGGCGGGCCGTCGGGCATTCTGTGGTGCTCGTCTTTTAAGCCTTGCAACATCCTACCCCTGGCAACCAGAAAGTCTTGAACCTCGGGAACAACCCCAGCAAACTGAAGCGATTCAACAACCACTTGCGGGCCTCCAAAACTCTATCCCCAGCTGCTGGTCCGTCTACGTGCCATGAAGAGCCTTGGCAAAGTCGCAGTCAGCCCATATCGGAAAGACTACCTGGAATGGACCTGGAACTCACATCCACGAAGCGCCTGTGACTACTGAAGAAGTTGTCACGATGAGTATCAGGCTGCCATCAACTGGAGTGGCACAAAACAGCGACTTTGGGAAGGCTTCTTCAAGATCCGCTAGCCGCGCCTTCCCCTGCCTGCCTCGGACTTGTGGCTTCCTCTGCTGTGGAACATGTTCCAAACCTCAAAACGCGCTTCCTTGTGGGTCTCCGGACCTTCGGATCATCTTTGAAAGCTGTTGGGCTTGCTAGTAACATTTGGTCTGGAGCAGAAGGATCAGATTGCCGTTTCCGATGTGCAGACACATTCTCTCGAATTCTGGGTGCGTCCCACTCATTGCAACACTCGAGCCCTCCAAACACTTTTGAAGTGCCGGTATGAGCTCTGTGGAAATTATATCTCGTCCCCCCACTAAGGCCAGCGTTCACCGAGTGCGTATGAAGCATATGTTCCACCTGTGATGCTCGCGTGGGCTTAGGACAAACCCCGATCGTGGCCTCATCAACAGGTTAGTTCATCCAGATGTAGCTGTGGGATCCCACCCATGTCCCCTCAATTAAAAGCCATGGCATCCCCAATACTATATAGTTACTGTCAATACTAATACATGTAAGCTACATACTGCCCAAGCATTTGCTTCAACGGTTGCCGTCATACTCATGCTAAGAATATTAGGCTACACAAAACGAATTCCACTAAGAACCAGGATCCTTGCTGTCTTCGCTCTGGCGTTCCCCAAATGATAGCCCTTAGATTTTTAGGGATGATACCAGCATTTGTTTGTTCACCTCAACATATTGTACATGGCACCCACTTTCTCACTATAGTATATGACCATGCTAGACTTGCTGACGGGCTTGCCCATATGCGTGTATGTACATATATTTGTGTATATACACAGCTAACCCTAATGTTAGACCATCTGTTAAACATGTACTAGATACCAACATAACGACGAGCACCGTTAACAGACTCCTGATTCCAAACAACATCAACCCTAACCCTATCCGTGTCATTCGCCTTGATATCTATGGTGACCGTAGTGTTCGCCCTGACAGCAGCACGAAGGTCATCCATAGTCGGCTTAGTACCACCCATATTCTGACCCCGAGGTTTTTCTTATTTAATTTGCAACTTCAGTCAGCTAGAAGGCATCGTAGCTGTAGCTGTGATAACCAGCAGTGGGTCGTAAGTGGTAACTGATACCCACGCCTAACTACGTGGTCATTGATTGGTTTTCCAAACTGCTCAAGACCTACTCAAAGATGTTGGGCCCTAAACCACTAAACTTGGGTCCCTTTTAGGGTCCTTCTTATAAGGTGCCGTACTATTTTGGGGATCTAAAAAGGGACACCCATATATTTTTGTATACATACACTCAAACTTGCACACATACGCGTCCAAGCATCCAGAAACTCTAGAGGAATAGACTTGTCCTGCACATGCGGAACTACTGTACTGTTGCTCGAAGTTCACTCGATGTCCCACACAGGTCTCAAGACATTTTTTAGCGGAAACGTCGTGACCTAAAGTGACAACCCCTAGCATCGTAAAGCCGTGTGCGTGGAAACAGCACGGGCCCTGTTTATCAATATGCATCGAAAGGAGAGATTCGATGTTGAAGAGCTTAACCACTACAAGATATGACTACTGCAAATGCACACGCCGCCAGATCGTGCCATACTGTTCTCTTAAGGGCCAGGCTGCTGCAGATAGCAACAATCGCCAACTCTGATCCGAAACGCTCGCGGCATAGCGGACTAAAGACAGAAAACATCATAAACCATTGCGAATGGACACACACGAGCCTTGCCGTATGTTGATCATCGTTGATCGCTTGGCGTGGGCTGGGTGGAGTTGTCGGGAGTGTGTCTACAATCTTCTTTGGTGGGTGTGCTCATCACAGGTCCAACCATTCCTGCAGGAGAAAGGCAAACCACCACGCGTAACACCCTGGCAACACCGTACCACGCTTCTCCCTCGTGCCGAGCCGATCTGACATGCCTCCTGGGCGCCCAACAGTGCCCAAACAGAAGATGTCTTGCTTGCTTGCGCGGTGTGTGGGCCCCCGAAGGAACCGTGGCCCGAAGGCCTACCCCTAAGGTGCGCGTTCAGGTGTTCTTCTGTCTATTCTATTCTATTCTCCGGGGCATAGGGTGCGAGTCAAGCACCCCGCGCCGTGAGGCGCACCCCTGTTTCGGGGCTTTGTAGGGGTAGTAGAAAAGTACGTGTTCTTCTGTCTCTCTCTCTCTCGCTAGCTCTGCCGCGCATCTTCTGTCTGGTTCCCCGACTGTCTGTCCTCGGAAGACATTCGTTGCCAGGGTACCGCACGCAAAACCCGGCCATGCAAGCACCCAGGAGAAGACACTCAAAGGCGGGACAACCATGGTCTGAGATGCCCTGCTTTCTCACTTCAAAATTGCATGTGCTGTGAGCACACACAGGCCATCATGACCCTTGTAGGTGGAAACGTCGTAATGGAGTACATCTGGAACTCACACCTTCCAGCTCGCGTGTCTACTGCAGTTTTTGGCCTTTGGGTAAGAGATCACTCAGAGATCACCAGCTATGGGCATGATAAGACTTTGTACATCGAGCGCTCCGCACGGGTGAAACAAGAAAGCGTTTGTACACTGCGAGAAAGATTTTGGCCGAAGGCCTAAAGATCCACAAGCAAAAGCTACTACTGGAAGCCGGATGCTTCAATGACGGCTAAGGTACCAACATGAAGTGCGAAATCAACGCTCGTCAAGCAGCCTGTCCCGTGGCGGCACCAGCAAAGGTTGAAGCCACCGGGCTGCACGTTTGCCATCACAGCGGCTGGCCAAATGAAGGTGCAACTGTCTGCAAATGTGCCGCAACGTATCGAAGGCAAAGAAACGAGTGACATGTCGGATGAAGTGCATGGCATGTGGGCATCTGCATCAGTGCTAATTTTCAGCTGATCCCCATCCTGAAGATGTAGCCCTTTCACCGGCGCAGCATGGCATTCGCGCTGCTGCAAACAAGTAAAAGTCTGCTCAGCAAAAGGACCGTGAATGTCCAGTGTGCCAACATGGAATGCTAGGTGTGGGTGAAGGGCCAAATCGCACGGACTCGCGCACCAACAGACACCGTAGTATCCACCAAAAGCGTGGAGGCTCGTCCAGCGAAACACGGATGTGTTAGGTCCAGCGACCTGCAGGCCTCCCAGAGAGCCTCCCAGGCCGTCACAGTCTGATGCAAAAGTGACCATGCCCGCAGTCATCGCGTCCTCATGCAACCAGGAGAGTCGGAGGGTGCAGTCCTCGCCGGAGAAACAGACATAACTGTTCCCGAGCTCAGGGCCTTGGAGCAACAACTCTCCAAGGAAGACAACGAAATCCGAGGCCCGCCGGCAGGAAGTGCCTGATGTGCTTGCAGCTATCCGACACCAGCAGAGTTGGTAATACCTTCCTGGTGCTTTTGTGGAATATGTGAAATTGAAAGCGGTCCCATCAGGGGAAGGAAAGGAGATACCTTCTCCGCCAAGCGCATGCACCGCCTCGGCCTGGCCACAAGGTGTGCCTGCTTCCGCTGCCAGCAGTAAGTCTCCAGCGCTAAGCCCTAGACCTGCCACGCCCGAGAGCTGCAATGGGCGCCCGGCCACGGCAGAAAAGTTCTGACCACTGTATGGGCCCTGCAGCTGTAAGCTGCCAGTGGCTTGAGATGCGAACTCTTGACACACGATCGCAAAAGAATGCTTCTGTTCACGCGCATCATGCCAGCGCCCATCGGGGACCCTCATGTAGACCAAGGGCTCGTTTGAGTGGTTAATGGCGGATGGCTGCCCAACAGCCCAGTTCATGTACTCCACTTCATGGCCTGCCATATCGTCAAAAGATCCGTTCAAAAGCATCGAGCCATCGTCCCACATCCAGTGCCCGGAGCTGTACCATCGTGCCCCCAGCCACAAGCCCGTACCACAGGGGCTGACTTGCACTCCCTGTTCGCGAGCCTCGGTCACGGCTGCTTCCAAGTTTGCCTGGCTCTGTGGGGTTTTAGGCATCGGCAGCGGTGCAGGGGTGCAAGCAGCGCGAGCTTCATCCTCATTGCCACAGCCAAGGAATTGGTAGCCACGAACCGCAAAGGCATTTTCGCCAAACGCGCTCCTGTGCATGCACAATGCGAAATCTCCACCACCTCGAGGCACTGGTTGCATACCGGCTGTGAAGTTGGCCGTCTCGAACTTCACGTCGTCGGCCGGGCTGTGTGGCGCGACTGTTGAAACCAGAAGGCCTCCCGACGGAAAACCCGTTTCAGCTGCTGCCGCAAGAATGGTTTCCCACGGCCCGGTGCAATTGTGCTCGTGCGGA